TTATATATATACATTATATATATATATTATATATATACATTATATATATATATATATACATATATATATATATATATACATTATATATATATATTATATATATATATATATTATATATATATATATATATTATGTATACATATATATATATATATATATATATATATATATATTATACACATATATATATATATATATATATATGTATATATATGTATATAGTGAAAGTAAGGGAGAGGGAGTGATTATATTAGTGAGACAAAAAACACAATTATTTTCTGGGTTAACAAAAGCTACAACAATCTGCAAAAGGAACGAACTAAGAGAAAGTGTCAAATCAGAAAAAGACAAAAATAATAAAAATAGAGAAACAAGACTGATAAAATAAATAAAATAATGAATATCTTTTATCTCACTGAATGTAAAATTCGACATTTTCTAATGAAGCCACAATCAAGACAACTCATTTTCTTTTCGGAAAAGGTATGCTATGATACCGAGTGATCAACGTTGCTTTCGCAGTCCATTGAATAATTTTCGGTATATTCATTTATTTATTTATTCATAAAGGAGGGCTTAAATCTGAATTTCTCTTCCCGCTTTTTCATATCCTGTTTTTTTTTAAAATTAAGAGGAAGAAGTAAACCCTACCTCTCCTCTCACCCTAATCTCTCTTTCAAAGGACCTATGTCAGCGCATATTCATAAAAATATTGATCATGTCATCTCCAGTTTTAACGGTTTTACTCTGAAGGCCAGCCTACATATAAAATAAAATATTACATATTTTAAGCCAAAAATGAAAATATATTAAAACTAAACAAAAATACATATCCATCACTTAAAAGAAAAATTAGTAAGAATAATATTAAAATATTTAAGACAAAAAATTGTTTTAATTTCTTTCTTTCTCTCTCAGTTGTTTTCGTTGTTGTAGATGAAGTTGTAATTAAAGAAGTCAAAGTAAATTTTTGGGAAGAAAAACTGAACCTATCAGTTTTTTATGTTCTCTTGCTTAATATTTTTCGCTCGTTGCGTCTTCACAAATTTACACATGAGAATAAGTGACGGGGTATTTTTAATTCCATATCAAGTTTTTCAGTATACTAAGTTTTCAGTCATTTGTGTGTGCTGAATTCCTTGTCAGATTTTTGTTTTTCCAGCTTTTTCAAAGTCAAGCAATTGAAATTATATTTTTTAAATTTATTTCAGGTCATTATCGGAATTATAATAAAGGAAAAAATTGAATTGTTGAAATTCCAGATCATACAGAATAAAACTCCAAAGAAATTCCAAGAGGATTTGATGGAAATATTGGGGGACATAGTCGCATAATACTCAATTGCGAAAACGTGATGTATCAACATCCAGCATGAAGATTTTCAGATCAACGATGAAGTTTAATCTGAAAGGCCTTCAATGGATTCAAGTCTTGTAGTAATTAATCATGTTCATGAGCTAATTTTTTTCCATATACGATAAGACCTTTGGTTTTATAATTCACTAGTCATTAGGTACGTAGAAGCTTTCTGATAAAGGGATCAAAAAATATTTTAAAGATATTGAGTGGAAACCTTCAAAATGATTTTGCAGTTTTTGGGGTTTTTTTTTTTTTAGCAAACTAGTGATAATATTTTGGAAACGAATTTTCTGTGCCGATGAAACATGATTACATCACCATAATACGGATAACGAGTCCATGTTCTTACGGCACTCTGGTTCTAAAAGTTGGAAGAAATTCAAGACACTAAATTTAGAGGGAATTGGCATTTTTTTTCATATGAGAAAAGAACTAAATGTTTTTATACTAATCTAACTTTGCAAAAATTGACTCAGGTTTCATTTGAAATCAGCAGTTTTAAAATCCAGTGTAAGAGGCAATGAAAGAAAAAACGGCAAATAAATCTGCTGAAAAAATTTCTTTTTACGGTACAATGAATCTGCACACAGAGATAGCAAGACGATGGATGTTTTGAAGAATTTCGGTTTGTCGAGACATTATTATCCATACTCATTAGATTTTTATTTAATCCAAAACATTTAAAGGCCGCTGAAAAGTAATATATTTGCTATCACCTCAGAAACTCGAGAGGAGTTGTGTGCATTTATAACTGAAATTTTTCCCATATCGGTTTCGCCCTAAGCAAGGCAATATAGCCACTAGCACGCAGGGGGTTACAGGGTGTGAAAGAATTAGGAACAGAAACATTATTAATGAGGAGAAAGAGAATAGAGCAATCAGGAAGACAGTAGATAGCGATTGACATTGCATTTAAGTTTTTGCAGAATAAAATTCAATGGAGAGCATGGAACCAGGAGGGAGTTCCACAAGCGAGAAGTGTGAGATCAGAATGATCAGAACTGTTAACATAGATGTTACGGCCACATATATCCAGCTCAACTCTCGCCGCCAGTCAATTATTGCACTTAAATTCATACAGTCTAGGTTGCTACCTAGACTTGGCGAAGAGCTCATCCGAACAATTATCATGAAAGTATTT